TCCGCCCGCGCCCTCCCTCGCTCCGGTGACTCCATCGGCTTTGGATTTGGAAGCGCGCTGATTGGCTGGAAGCGATTCAACACACGCCGGGCAGGAGCTTTGTCTGAGTTGAAGTGAAGTTGTACAGATTTTAGACCCGAGTCAGCAATCACGGGTGTTTAGTCTGCCGCCGAGCAGAGCCGAGCGAGAAGGACTCGCCGGCTCGGGGAAGAGCCGCAGCGGACTCCGCCGCCGGCACCCTGCGATAGATGGATTCCCACTCCACCGGGGGGCCAACGCCGAGGTGACGTGCTTCTGCTCGGAAAGAGGACGAACGGCCAAACCAATGCCAGGATCGGACTCCATGCCGCTAGTATCCGCGAGTCGTGACACGGTGTGTATAAAACAAAAGTTTGTGAGCTGTTAATTGCTGTGCTGTGTGATTAAGAGACGCTTTCAAGTTTCAAGTGCCAAATGTAGCTTAGCTGTAAGTTGCCAAAGGAAGTTGAGGGGAATTGCTTTGCTGTTTTAACTCGCTCTGTGAGGGCAATCTCGCAAACTGACCGAGGCACCAAATGAATACTAAGATGCACTTTAGATTTGTCTTTGCACTGCTGGCGGTATCTTTCAACCACGATGCATTGGGCAAGAATTTGAAATACAGGATTTATGAGGAACAGAGGGTTGGATCGGTAATTGCAAGACTATCAGAGGATGTGGCTGATGTATTACTGAAGCTGCCTAATCCTTCTTCTGTTCGTTTTCGAGCGATGCAAAGGGGAAATTCTCCCCTACTCGTAGTAAATGAGGATAATGGGGAAATCAGCATAGGAGCTACAATTGACCGTGAACAACTATGCCAGAAAAACTTGAACTGTTCTATAGAGTTTGATGTGATCACTTTACCCACAGAGCATCTGCAGCTTTTCCATATTGAAGTTGAAGTGCTGGATATTAATGACAATTCTCCCCAGTTTTCAAGACCTCTCATACCTATTGAGATATCTGAGAGTGCGGCAGTGGGGACTCGTATCCCCCTGGACAGTGCGTTTGATCCAGATGTTGGAGAAAATTCCCTCCACACGTATTCCCTCTCTGCCAATGATTTTTTTAACATTGAGGTTCGGACCAGGACGGATGGAGCCAAGTATGCGGAGCTCATAGTGGTCAGAGAGTTGGATCGGGAGCTGAAGTCAAGCTACGAGCTTCAGCTCACTGCCTCAGACATGGGGGTGCCTCAGAGGTCTGGCTCGTCCATACTAAAAATAAGCATTTCGGACTCCAACGACAACAGCCCTGCTTTTGAGCAGCCGTCTTATATAATTCAACTCCTAGAAAACTCCCCCGTTGGCACTCTGCTCCTAGACCTGAATGCCACTGATCCAGATGAGGGCGCTAATGGGAAAATTGTATATTCCTTCAGCAGTCATGTGTCCCCTAAAATTATAGAGACTTTTAAAATTGATTCAGAAAGAGGACATTTGACTCTTTTCAAGCAAGTAGATTATGAAATCACCAAATCCTATGAGATTGATGTGCAAGCTCAAGACTTGGGTCCGAATTCAATCCCAGCTCACTGCAAAATTATAATTAAGGTTGTGGATGTGAATGACAATAAACCTGAAATCAGCATCAATCTCATGTCCCCTGGAAAGGAAGAAATATCTTACATTTTTGAAGGGGATCCTATTGACACATTTGTTGCTTTGGTCAGGGTTCAGGACAAGGATTCTGGGCTGAATGGAGAAATCGTTTGTAAGCTTCATGGACATGGTCATTTTAAACTCCAGAAGACTTATGAAAACAATTATTTGATCTTGACTAATGCCACACTGGATAGAGAAAAGAGATCTGAGTATGGTTTGACTGTAATCGCTGAGGACAAGGGGACACCCAGTCTTTCCACAGTAAAACATTTTACTGTTCAAATCAATGATATAAATGACAATCCACCTCACTTCCAGAGAAGCCGATATGAATTTGTTATCTCAGAGAATAATTCACCTGGGGCATATATCACCACTGTTACAGCCACAGATCCCGATCTTGGAGAAAATGGGCAAGTGACATATACCATTTTGGAGGGTTTTATCCTAGGAAGTTCCATAACTACATATGTGACCATCGACCCATCTAATGGAGCCATCTATGCCCTCAGAATCTTTGACCATGAAGAAGTGAGTCAGATCACTTTTGTGGTGGAAGCCAGAGATGGAGGAAGTCCTAAGCAACTTGTAAGCAACACCACAGTTGTGCTCACCATCATTGATGAAAATGATAATGTCCCTGTGGTCATAGGGCCTGCACTGAAAAATAATACTGCAGAAATCTCCATCCCCAAAGGGGCTGAAAGTGGCTTCCATGTCACAAGAATAAGGGCAATTGACAGAGACTCTGGTGTGAATGCTGAACTCAGCTGCTCCATAGTGGCAGGTAATGAGGAGAATATCTTCATAATTGATCCACGATCGTGTGACATCCATACCAACGTGAGCATGGAATCTGTTCCCAATACAGAATGGGAGCTTTCAGTTATTATTCAGGACAAAGGCAATCCTCAGCTGCATACCAAAGTCCTTCTGAAGTGCATGATCTTTGAATATGCAGAGTCAGTGACCAGTACAGCGATGACTTCCGTAAGCCAGGCATCCTTGGATGTCTCCATGATAATAATTATTTCCTTAGGAGCAATTTGTGCAGTGTTGTTGGTTATCATGGTGCTGTTTGCAACTAGGTGTAACCGAGAAAAGAAAGATACTAGATCCTACAACTGCAGGGTGGCAGAATCAACTTACCAGCACCACCCCAAAAGACCATCCAGGCAGATTCACAAAGGGGACATCACATTGGTGCCTACCATCAATGGCACTCTGCCCATCAGATCTCATCACAGATCATCTCCATCTTCATCTCCTACCTTAGAAAGAGGGCAGATGAGCAGCCGGCAGAGTCACAACAGTCACCAGTCACTCAACAGTTTGGTGACAATCTCATCGAACCACGTGCCAGAGAATTTCTCATTAGAACTCACCCATGCCACTCCTGCTGTTGAGGTAAGATCATAAACTGCATCAATACACTGACAGTGTCACCTGTTAGTGTTCAGTAGTTGTGCTCATTAGTTCTTAAATAATTTCATTAATCAATAACAATACTAACAACATGCAAATGAAATAGGATGTAAGTTACAGTATGAATATGTAGCAAGTGTACCCACGTTAGTATACTGTTTATTTAGTTTTCTTTATGTAATTTACTTGCATGTAACATGTATAATATTGAAAAATAAACGTGATCCACACAAAGGACTCCCTAAGTAGGTTCCCATTGCTTCCCAGATTAAGATATTGGGAAGCTAATAAGTAAAGGAACTTCTTTTATTCTCTACTTATGGTCTCTCTTATAAAATCAAAAACGGAGGCCTTCAGAATCTTATCTCTATGCATGCCTTTTTTGCTCAACTTTGGAAAATATTCTGACTTTCTATGTGTGATAAGGTTCTGTTTTACAACATTTTCCATGTATTTTTATATCTGGTCACTTTACCTGAACTATAAAGGAAATATACCAGTTAGTTAACAGGAAGTCCTCATTCAAAAAGAAAAAAAAATGTATTAGATCATCTATAACTCTCTGAGATATATTTCAGTGATATTTGGTGGCTGGCTGTACACTCTGCCACAGTCCAGCCTATGCAAATCTGTAAAATAGAGATAACACAGTCAGTTACTTAGTATGAAACAACAAGTAATTGTTTTTCCTTGCAGAAAGACTGTGAGTTTGGGGGGGTTGTTTCCAGGAATCAGTTCTGTCTATTTGCTTTCCAGCAGGTCTCCCAGCTTCTTTCAATGCTGCACCAGGGGCAATATCAGCCAAGGCCAAGTTTTCGAGGAAACAAATATTCCAGGAGCTATAGGTATGAATTACTCTGTGTCACCTATTGAATCTCAACATAATTGCTGGGAGTAAAAACTCTATTTTTCCTGATTTATCTTTCCAGATATGCCCTTCAAGACATGGACAAATTTAGCTTGAAAGACAGTGGCCGTGGTGACAGTGAAGCAGGAGACAGTGATTATGATTTGGGGCGAGACTCTCCTATAGATAGGCTGCTGGGTGAGGGATTCAGCGACCTGTTTCTTACAGATGGAAGAATCCCAGCAGGTAAGAGGGTCATGATAGATAAATCTTTAGTTTGAATTCTACTGCAACACCAGCGAAGGGAAAAATGTCTCTCGAGCTTTTATTTCTTTTTCATTTGTCCTTTGCACTAAAATATTTATAGTCTGCACACTATTAGCAGTGAACAGAAACTGAAATGAGATTTGTTTTCCTTAAAATTCCTGTTAAGCAGTTAGCAGAATAGTAGTAAGCACGAGAGCTAAATCGAACAAGAAGGGAGGGGTGGGGAAAAGAATGGAAAACCAAACCCCAGCCCGCCTTTTTCTCCCTCATCCAGTAACTGCCACAGAACCCTCTTGAGCAACTCTGTACAAAATTACTGGGTGGTGGTTTTTATTCAGACAGCCTGTTTTGGTGCACAGTGGTAAACTGGACTATAATTTGGAGGATGCATTTCCTGTGATGGGAACCAACACACAATCAGAGACTAAAATACACTAGAAATGGTATACTTTAAGCATTAAAAATAGGAGAAAGAATGCATCCTTATAGGTGGTGAGCATGGAATGTTCTTTGCTACCTTTCATTTTATGTCTGGAGCAGGAATCCAAGAGGGGATTTATAAGTTCACAGCTAGATGGAGATTCTGTTAAGTTCTCACAGTCCCTTCCCTCTAACTGTGCAGTAGACACTTTCCATGAACCAATTGAGTAAAAACTGACTGCATCATTGTAGCAACTCTGTACTAAAGAAGGTGGGATTAAATCAATCCTTAGGCCCACACAAATGTTCCTTTGGCTAACTGTGTTTCCAAATTTCAGTAAATGTTGAGCCAGTGACTTCCATTGGATAAAGGCAGAACAACATTGTATCCATTTTAGTTCTGTCAAACATCTGTATTCTAAATACAGATACAAAGAGAGTTTAGGAATAAACATAAGAGAGCATCAGATAGACAAAGAAATTTAAGAGAAATCAGTATACTGTACTCTCTCTGTTTGTGGCTGTTCCAGCCGGGGATTCAACTAACCCTTGATTAAAAATATTCAGGGGGAGGGGGGAAACAATGAAAAATACAAATTATGAAAACAATAATGTATAACAAGTGGTTAGATAGCATTGTATTAGGTAGTGTAAGTACCTTATAGATACTTTAAAGTATATGGGGGATATACATAGATTATACCCAAGTATAGGGTAAGAAACTTGAGTATTCACCAATTTTGGTATCCATGAGAGTCCTAGAACCAGTCTCTCAAGGATATTGAGGGATGACTATAGCTCCCATAAACTATACAGGTAGAAGCGGCAGTAGCCACAGCAATATTAGTATTAAGAGTAGTAGTAGCAATAGTTGTTACCAAATACTTCCCAAGGTGCACTCTAGGCCCGTGAGGAATTCTGTTTCTTCACTGCTTCTCCTAAAGCTTTGAAACTATAGCTTAAAAGGTTAGAAAATGCATCCTAGTCAGAGGTAGAGGTGAGATTTGAACCATTCACTACACAATTAAATACTAAGCTGTAGAGTATGTGAAGTAATAGGGATTTTTTTAAGTAAACTGTTATTAAGTAAAGTATATTAGTACTAATGTATAAGTAAAGTAATTTTTCTTATGTTCAAAAGTCTTTCTACTCTCCATATAACAATTAAGTGTTGCTTATTCAATTATGTTATTAGAGTAATAAATGCTACAGCTTTATAAGGATGAAAGTGTCAAATAACTACTAATGGCATTAAGAGTCACTAGTAGCTGAGAACTTGATTGTCTTCCTTGATAAGTGACACCTTGTCTCACTAGTAGCTGAGAACTTGATTGCATAGTCATCCTTGGTGTCTTTTTTCTTTTATTTCATGGACTATTTAGATGAATTTGAAAATAAATCTCTGAAAATGTAGTGGAATGTACAGTAGAACCTCTGTAAGTTGGCCATCTAAGGGACTGTGACAGACTGGTCAACATACAGAAGTGGTCAACTTAAAGAATTAGGCCCACTGTGCTGATACATGCATGCTGGGTCTATGAAAATTAGGTCAACTTAAGTAGGAGGTCAATATAGGAAGGTGGTCAACTGTGGAGGTTCTCTTGTGTATTGACTTTGTTCAAAAAGAAACAGTTTTATTATCCCAGAGAACATTAATTTTGAATATTAATCCTCAATTTTGAATAATGTAAATTTATTTCATAAAACAGAAAAGTAATATAATGGGCATAATATTCATATTGTATTATATATTTTTAAATTCATATAAAGTTTATTCATTGATATTTAAAATTATCAGTGTAGTTAAATGGAGAATAGCGCCTAAATTGGATAACCTTGCCATTGTGAGACTAAATGATGCCTAATGTTCTTTTTTTAATCCTGAATTTTTGTAATCCAAATAGCTATTCATGAATCTTTTGGGGGGGTGGAAGTCAAGATTCTTCTTTTACGCCTTCCTATATTTTCAAATTTGTCACCTCTACATAGGTTCACAGCAAGAGTTAGCTAGCACTTACATAATTAATAACAAATATTAAAAAATAAGTACATTGGGGAAGTAATAGGTAGACACAGAAAAATCTAGAAAACAGTAAATTTTGTTTAGTGACTCTGCCCCATCTATGTCATACTTCTTTTCTAGAATATACTATTAGTAGTAATTCCATTTCACATTTATAGACCCCTTTAAGAAATATTTTTATATTTACACATCATACATAATCCAGGTGTGTGGAGGGAGAACTATACTGCTGGCACATGACGTTATATTACAGCATATTATGTTAAAGTTGATACGTTTCTGTCTTAGTAGTCCTGACCTCCTTGGCTGAGGGCTCTAGTCAGAATTATGCTGGATGCCCAGAGCATCAGGGAATCAGCAGTGGTCCCCAAAGTATTCACTGTGCTAGTACAGGCTGCAGTGTACACATTGAATAGTTGGATAATTATCCCTTCAACATGACCATCATTCCAATAATACCCTCCATTTTATCCATATTCTAGTTTTTTATTCACCCTGGAAACTTCTACCTGAACATTTGGGTGTAAAATTTGTCCTTTGTAAACTTATATCCCTAGGGAATATCCCAGTAGAAAAATATGTAAGTCCACATCTAAATTCCATTAACGGAAATCAGCATAGTCTTCTAAAGCTTGTCTATTTTTAGGACTTAAGTGTCTTGTTCCAGCTGTTTTACTGCCTTAGACTATGAACAAATATAGCTTATGTTATGTTGCATTGCCTGCCAACAAGGTCATTGCTGGTCATTTGTTCTCCTAATTCCCACACAAGTATCTTAAACTTTGAGTAGTTGAATCAGCATGCGTTTGTGTCCGTTGGCTCGTGTTTGTCAACATACTTTCTTTCTTACTCATTCAGCTGCACCTACAACACTAAGCCTGAAAAACCTCCATTTCCCCATTGCGTTGGCTTGGTCATGATGATTCATAAAGGGTTTTGATTTTGTTTCTTATGATATTCCTCCTTGAATAAGTCCATTTCCCTTTTCATCAGTCTGTAATCTGTGATTACTTCCTTCAGGCATCCTTTTTTAATTCCGTGTCCTGTGCTCTCTTCTCTCTCCTGGCAGGCGTCCTCGCCCTGTCCTGGCCTTCCTTCCTTGATCAGTGTATTGTACTGGGGAATTAGCTGATATTTAGTGTCTAGGAGCCTCTCATACTTGTCAAATATTTTTTTAACACAGCTTTAACAACCTTTTCAGAATATTTTAATTTATCCTTTTTGGCTACAAATCAATGTTTGACACTTGTTGCACAGCAATACAGAAATAAATGGTTCATCTTGGCATTCAAAGGCCAGTGGAACTTTCCTAGGCTCGGCAGCTGTAGCTTAGTGGTTAGGGTGCCAGCCACATACACTGGGTGGGCCTGGTGGGTTCAAACCCAGCCTGGGCCTTCCAAATAACAATGACAACTACAACAAAAAATATCTGTGCGTTTTGGCAGTCCCAGCTACTCTGGAGGCTGAGGTATGAGAATCTCTTAAGCTCAAGAGTTTGAGTTTGCTGTGAGCTGTGATGTCACAGTACTCTACTGAGGGCAGCATAGTAGATTCTGTCTCAAAAAAAAAAAAAAAGAAAGAAAGAGTTTTTTCCCTAGATTATTAACTCTCAATTTTGCCATTTTTGCATCTTTTGCCATAGACAAAAGCATCTCTTTACTTAACACACTGATCCTTGGCTCGTGGTATCCTTCTATCTGCTATGTATGTGTATGTGAATCCTATTTATTTCTCAAAGTTTGGTTTAAGTGATTCTTTAAGTATTTCAGCCTCCACCTCCACCCTTTTTCTTTTCTGGACATGCCCGCACTCTCATCTCTAGTTCGACACTTAAACTGAGTATTTATGATCTCATTTGCTACACTTGACTCAGAACTGGAACTTAAACCTTTTGATGACAGGGTGCTGCCAGATTGTACTTCAAATATGGCAGATACTCGATAGATAACTGATTGATTGCCCAATAACTAATGACTTGATAGAAGGTAGGCATACATTTTTCTTCTTATATTCAGTGTTCTGCTTCCTGTCTAACCTCTAAGGTACGGCACAGTGACAAAATTCACAGTCACCTAGTGGGGAAAAAGAATCGTTTGCTGCACCTTCTTCTCCCTCCCCAGAGGGAACATCACCTAACTGCCAAGGAGCCACAGAAAGATTAACCCCTCGTACCACTTGCCAACAACTTCTGATCCCTAGGATAAAATAGAGAACATTTTGGATACCGAATTACTTATACACTGAGAATGTTTTCATGCAGTCAAGTCTCCAGCGGAAAGGTTGAAAATGTCAATAAATTTGTAAGAAATGCTGTCCTCTGTGCCAATCTCTCTCTCTCTCTCTCTTATTTTTGGCCATCTTTCTCTTCCACCTCCTTTTCATTAATTTTTAAATTTTCATATTTATTTTTTAAATTATCCTGTTATTCTATAATTAAAGCCCCACCATTTATTGTGATGAAGTCGTGAATAGCATTCACTGCTTAAAAATCTTCCACAGATACAATTATCTTTGAGAACCTGTAGACTGTGTTACCCGAATGTTACCTCTTTGTATTATTGGTTATACAGTCATCATTTCTAGGTCTCTAGCAAACTAGGTCGTGTTCAGGACTTTTACAAGCTTAGGCAATTTTCCTTTTTCCCCACCATTAAACATTAAAACAAAGCCAATCAAACAATCAATCAAGCAACTAAGTCCTTCCCAAGCCTAAAAGTACAGAGTCAGAGGACAGAAAACTAATGAAGAGGTGTCAGCAGGCTAGTTCTCCTTCCTCCTGACAGGATGCAAGGAAGACTGTGCAGACAGATCACAGTTCCATTTTCAGAGACCCAGAGAAAGAAGAAGGAAAAAAATCATTACCATTATGACAGTTATTTCACTGCTGAGAAAACCTCATTGCTATTAGGGCCTTCCAATTACTTTCAAGTCCTTTTAGTCCTATCCACATCAAATGATGAAAAGAAATACCAGTTTGTAAATATTTCCAAGTACCAATAGTAACAATGCATGAAGTCAGGGCATTGAAACATGCTTTTCCTCTTAAACCAACTTTGCTTATTGAAATTCATCCTGACTTCAGAGCGCGATCACACCATGGTTCATTAGGCGGGGCCTCGGTCTCCTTCCCCACACTGATTTGCATGGATTTGCTGTTTCACTTTATGTGCATTTTCCCTCCTTTCTTTATATTTCCAGGCTTCCTAGCAGTTCAGCTTTTTCTTTTTCTCTCACAATACTCGATCTCATTTTTGTCTCTCGCATCAATAGAGCTTCAGAACATCTTGAGGAACTGAGAAATGGATTTTTCATATCTTTATTCTTTAATGACTGTTCCATGTATTTTAATATCACCATACTAGGAACCTTTAGAAAAGAGTCTTCTTGACAGGATAACTTTTTCATTAGAAATGAATGAAATGGCCCACTCCAGGCGGTTCAAGAGCAGACTTACCCTCACAGTTGAAGCAGTGAACAACAGTGATTTCTATGCCTTGAACTTCTCTTCTTCAGAGAATTAACATAGCTTTCTTCATGTTTTAGTCAGAAAATATGTAGTGAATACCTCCTCTCTGCAGACACTTTACCAGGTGGTGAGGATGTCAAGGGACCACTTGGTTTCCCTGAAAGGACCTTGGCTTTGTTCAAGAGTCATTCTTTTAGCAATAAATTTGGAGAAAGAGAATTTTTTTCTTAAGTAGCCAGCTCTACAAAATCAGCTCTGAATATATAGGTATGGCTTATGTCAATCTAGTTTTCATTCAGATCTAAGATGATTATTTTGCATTTTCTGAATTCTGCTGTTTTCTCTAGCTCTCACTGACAGAAATCAATGAAGTGTGGAGTATATTTTGCATTGTAGCATTTCCTGCATGGTCTTGTAGTTTAATGATTGAATTTGCCAAATTTAGAGAATTTGTTACCTCTTTATTTTTCTGCTTTTTCAGATCACCTATTTTGTTCTATGATTGCGGCCACTCACATTCCCACAGAGCATCAGAACATCTGGGGGGGCTTGAGGAATAGATTTTTCGTATCTTTCATCCTTTGATGACCATTCCTTAGACTTGAATATGAATATATTGTGGACCTTTAGAAAAAGTCTTCTCAAAAGGGTAGCTGCAGATCCCTGGTAGTTGAGGATACTTCTCACTAAAATAACATGTCAATAAATATTTTATAAAACCTTCAGGAGAGATTAGTAAGTATAAGCATCTGATTGCTTATTATATTCTTAATGCCTCCATTAAAAACATAGACAGACCTCAGTATTGAGAAAGTTACACAAACATATTACTCAAGACTTGTCTGGTGGCATTCTAAAGTTATAGATTTCACCTTACAAGTCTAATTATTTTAGAATTTATAGTCAACATTTATTTCATTCATAACCTACACCTTAGCTCTTTTTGTGTTAGTTATTTATGCATATTTTCATTATTTTAAAATCATAGCATATTAGCATAATATTAGCATATTAGCATAATAATCCTGAGAAAATTTCATTATTTGAAAATAATAACATATTAGCATAATATTAGCATACTAGCATAATATTCTTGAGAAATACACGAATGGTAACCCTCTTTTTTTATATGCTCAATAAGAGGAAAAAAATATGCCAGCAGATATGATTTCTTATAATACTTAAAGTATTATAATACTTTATAAGTATTATAAGTATTATAATTAATACTTAATTTCAAATAATGAAATTAAAGCCACAATTGTCATCCAGCTAATGTGGATAATAATGGTTTAGCACCGTGGCAATAGTTTAAAATGCTCACATTCTATTTTTTAAACTCATAACATAACATTTTTGCATCATCCTGAGTCATGCTAAGTATCGTAACGCCGTCCCCGTTTTTCTCGCGCACAGCTATGCGGCTGTGCACCGAGGAGTGCAGAGTCCTGGGACATTCCGACCAGTGCTGGATGCCGCCGCTGCCCTCGCCACCCTCCGATTACAGGAGCAACATGTTCATTCCAGGGGAGGAATTCCCAGCACAACCCCAGCAGCAGCATCCGCACCCGGGTCTTGATGATGACACCCAGTCGGCAGATTCTGGTGAGAAGAAGAAAAGTTTTTCCACGTTTGGGAAGGACTCCCCGAATGATGAGGACTCCGGGGATACCAGCACGTCCTCTCTGCTCTCGGAAATGAGCAGCGTGTTCCAGCGCCTGTTGCCGCCTTCCCTGGACACCTACTCTGAGTGCACCGAGGTGGATCGGTCCAACTCCCTGGAACGCCAGAAGGGGCCCCTGCCAGCCAAGACCGTGGGTTACCCGCAAGGGGTGGCGGCCTGGGCAGCCAGCACGCATTTTCAAAATCCTACCAACACCCCTGGGCCCCCCCTCGGAACTCACTCCAGTGTGCAGCCTTCTTCAAAGTGGCTGCCTGCCATGGAGGAGATCCCCGAAAATTATGAAGAAGATGATTTTGACAATGTGCTCAACCACCTGAATGACGGGAAACACGAACTCATGGACGCCAGTGAGCTGGTGGCTGAGATTAACAAACTGCTTCAAGACGTCCGCCAGAGCTAGGAGACTTCAGAGAAGCATTTTGTTTCCATATACATGGAAACGGGGACAGAACAACAACAACAACAACAACAACAACAACAACCACCACCCTGAAAGAACTGGCATTGCCAAATAGTTGCATTTATCATAAATGTGTCTGTGTATATTGAATATTAAATACTGTATTTTCGTATGTACACAATGCAAGTGTGATTATTTTAATCTGTATTTTAAAAATACATTTGTACCTTATATTTATGTGTAATTTAACAAACAAATTTTATTTTTTTACTCCCATGACAAACATGTCTTTCCTAATCGTATAGAAACAAGCCACTGTTCAAATCTGATATATTATTCCACCATGAAGTATAAAGGCACTGTTGTTGAGGTTACTTATGTTGGAGAAGAATTATTATGCTGAGAAACTGAAAGCACTGTCCACTTAATTTCATTAAGTGGTCTGACTTCTTTTTCAATACTTTTTACAAATTATGCATCATTAACAATGTTAAGCTATGTTATTAGTACTTTCACTGCTCTCTGCTAGCTTCAATAGTTAACTGTTACAGCAAAACTGATAACATGAACTGAAATTTTATTTTAGGACTGGGAAGTACCTTGAAACATATTTGTGAGACGGCTGTTTCAAATGAAATTTCACAGATAATGGTGCAAATAAGACTAAAGTTAATATTTCTTCACTCCCAGACCCCCAGGCATCACACTTGCCTGTTCTTGAGAATATTTCTCCTATATATTATCATCGACTTATAATTAAGGTAAACAGTAAATTTAATCCCATCCTTATAGTATGAAATGTGCTCCAAGTGAATACCCTTTAACTGGATAACAGTATGTATTCTAACAGCGTAAAGTATTCATGGACAAAGATGGCCATGTCAGTGTCCTTCCTAGGGTAGTAAATATGATTGATTTATTCCGAAACTGTGCTAGTTGAATCTTCCCCTCTCCTCTCACAGGACTTGAATACTTTCGTCTTTCGCAACGTTGTTTTTCTATGACTATTCGCTTTTAGCTTTTGCTTCCATTGCATGATCTCATATTTTTGCTTTTATTTTTGGTATAAGAACATTTATAAAATCACGTTTTTGTTATTGCGATTTTGTTTTCTTTGTTATGTGACAGATGAGAAATTCTTTATTTATTGTGCTGTTATCTCTCTGTGTGGAATGCTTTGGTAAGAGAGATCCGTATTATGACTGTTACCATTTATGACCAAGTTTCTATTAGTGTTATTTTCAATGATACACTATCTTGATTGTATTCTCCAAAAAATTTTACTGTCAATGAAAATAAAAGGAAAATTAAAGCAAAGCTAAGGAACTGCTCATAAGTAGGAGTCCTGTCCTTACCTGTACGTTGGGAAGATTTGCCTGCAGCCTATCCTTCCCGATAGCACACTTTATTTAATGTTGCGTTTCAAATCCTATAGAGGTTGGAACATTCCGTTGGTTTGGTAAACAAGAAAAACATAATGAAAAGAAATGAGTTTGAAGGCCATAATGGAAATGAAAGTAGTCAACCATATTCCGATTAAACTAAATCATTTAAAGAGATTTTGACAGCTAGGTGCCTGTTCCTCAGTGGTTAGAGAGCTGGCCCTGTGCATTAGGACCAGTGGATTAGAACCGGGCTGGGCCTACTTAGGAAAAATAAATAAGTAAATGCATTTGGAATGTAAAAAAATGAGACAATAAGTAATAACTATTTGAATATTTTTTAAATTAAAAAAAACTTTATCAAAATATAGAAGAATATATAAAGTTGTGCTGGATAAAAACGTATCCTTACAATATTTCCAAGAGGCAAAAATATGACCCTTTCGTAAGTCTCCACGCAAAGGGCATATTGCACAGGCACACCGCTCACCACCTGGGTGGAGGACACAACTACAACTTGTACTTTGACCTCACAAAAGCAAACTAGGTAACCTAGTTGTAGGTACCTGCATATTAATTTGAAATTTAAAATATTATCTGCAAATGATATTATATATTTACTAGTAGGCTTACTAGTAGGGAATTGAAATCCTAGGAATGTAACCAAAAAAGGCTAAAATAAATAAATAAATAAATTCAGATATTCGAATTCTCAAATGAATACCACGTAAAGTAGAATATACTACCTCTTTCAAAAGGCACATTTTCCTGTATAGAAGGGATCCAAATTGCAAGGAGATTTCAGTATTTTTATGTAGATCACATATACCAATGCTAACCCCATTAAAATACATGTTGCCTTTCAATTTTGCTTCCTTTCAGTGCATATTATCATTCAGAAAAATCCTTCCATGAATTCTCTGTTCTTAATTGAAGGCACCAACAGTAATTAATTCAGGAAGCAAAGCTGGAAATCAATATTTTGAATAATGAGGTAAATAAAATGCAGTGCTGTACTCGACACAACCTTGTACACTGCTCATATGCTAAGAAGTTAACTCCTGCACCTCTAGCTTTCTCCGTGTATAATAGCTTACCACACCCACAGGTTAAGGGAATGGAAGTGCAAGATTCCCTTTCACCAGTAATGTCCTTTTAGTGAAAGTTTGGATGTCCTAACCCTTTATCAAGTGTGTATCTCTTCTTATTTGAGCCATACATTTCCTCAGATTGAAATAAACGAAAGCACCTCACCATTCATTTCTCCATTCATTATTTCTTGAATGCCTTAGCTTCATTGGATTCCTTTAAATTTTCTTAAACAGTAATCATCCATTCAGGAAATTATCTTCCAGTTATGCAATTCAGCACTGCATTTGTTGCTTAACAAATCCTCCGTAAACACTTCTGTATAGAATGATTAGAATTAGCTTTCTTTACCTTCTTACAAGTTGTTGATATTGTTCATTTTTCATTCCTTTCTTCCTTGCTACCTAGCAGATGGGGCTTACAGCTTTACAACATTTACCTTCTGGCTTCTCCTGTCACACAGCGAATTTGCCGATTACCACTAAGTAAATATTAAGGCAAAGATGAGTAAGTTTCAGTCTAGTGGAGTCAGTGCAGAAGTCATATTTACAAAAATCAGCTCAGTTTCCCTGTTTCATTCTTTTGATACTGTCAGAAAATATTTTAAACTGAATTTAAGTTATCGACACATTAAAATTCAAATAACTATGAATCTATTTAGAAAAACAAGTACTTTCATGCTGGATTACCAGCATGGGTGAAAAATGCATTGCTGGTGGGCTAGTTTTCAATAGTGCAGGAAGGAACTCACAGAACAGAGTCAAGACTACTGAATATGTTTTGATACTTCTCTCCCGACACAGTGTATCTAGATAAAGTGTGTGTATTATCCCAGTATCAAAAATTAAGGGTACACTGAACTCCAAAGAAACAATAGATACTGTCATACAAAAATTAAAACCCAGCCATGAAGAAGTCTTAAAGATTTATTTCAAGCCTTAAAAAGAATAAAAATAATTCTTACATTTCAAAAGAGCCCAAATATTTGAGTTCATTAATTGTAAGCTACATTCACAGAACAAAGCTACCCCTAGGTCTATGAGCTTTATGTTTATGTTGTGAAAGCATAATATGTCATAGTGGTCGCTGTCATTTATAATATATTTGGATTTCTCTATGAATGATAGAAATAATTCTGTATACTTACAGATAGTGAAGTCTTAATTTGATAAATTAGGCTTTAGGGGCCATTGAATAATCACATGGTTTGGTTAGGTTCCTGGGATAGACACAGTCACTTTCTTGAGATAATTGAATGATATCTAGACTAGAACACAGCAACTGCAATACTGTATTGCCTAAAGTTCAGTTTCATTCTTTATCTGTGTAATGAAAGCCATAGTCAAGTATACACACTTCAGAAATAATAGAGACCCTTTTTAATCTAAAGCAAAAAATATTTAAATAGTTAGGTCCCATGTAATAGATGTGTAGATGCTAGTGCATATTTCTTATTAATTGGTTGTGTTTTTATTATGTAGTAGCTTATACAACTTGTGGAGCTGTTAAACAAATTTTACAGGAAGCCAGCAAAACGAAATTGCTGCCAAAATTTACATACTTCCTGACTTTTAAAATTGCAATAGCACATCCTACTCTGGCACTTTAAAATAATAGTTTTCTATTTCCTTTTATGACTTCTGCAAGATGCTCCTAATTCTTGTTTGCTTTCTTGGATTTTTATCTCTTCCATTTATTTATTTAATCGTATTCCTCCCTGATAATTCAACCTGCTGTCTGCACTTTATGGCATTCCTCTCCAAATTCTCACATGTACATGGTTCCTCATAGAACTGCCTAACTTTTATAAAACTTTCTTGTCTCTTCTCTGTTATTGATGCAATAGAAATTGCATGTTTGGTATATAAAGCTAACACCTTTTAATCTCAATAAACCTCACTCCTAGCATTCATTAGTTTGAGAGAGAAGTAAATTCATACCATGGTGAACAAAGGGTCATTACCTTTGTCTAAGCTTTAAATTAAAATTTTTTGAGTGCTTAGAAAGATAATAGTGTAGAAAACGTGGCTTATTGAGAGAGGAATCGTTTGTTAAAATATATAACCCTTCTCCACTGTTCTCTAATTATTAAGAGTTAGGCTGGGGAAGGTGAGCTTGTACTTTCATTGTAAGCCATAGAGAAGTGCCAGAAGAAAGTAGAGTAATAAGTAAGAAAGGCCCTTGCCAAGGAAAAGAAAGGTAGCTTAGCTAATTGTTGGGAGCGTAAAGCTGGAAGGGTAAGTAAATTGAAACGTATAAAATATCAGATGTTAGTGTCTTATTCCTACTGCCAGTGGGCTTTAGAAAGCACTACGGAACACAGCTTGGGGGATGATGCTCCCTGTGTTTTGATTCTTGGGGCACTGAAGGAAGTGGTTCCAAGTTCTGTGTACCTTTGGGGAGCATCTTGCCTTCTTTGTGTCTTTGGATGGATGAATGTACTATTAGAGATTCAGATTTTCTTTCTTGCCTGAATGGCGGAAGGTTTGGTAGTCTAAAACCCATTATTAATATATTTCAAAGTGCTTTTATGGAAATGAAGGCAGGGTTTCTAAAAGCCCCAGGTACATTCCTGTTTTATTAAGAGGTACATGCTGCAGCTTAAAATAGCTAACCACAAAATATTCTAGACAGAAGAAACAAGCGAGACCTTTCCTTTGGAAGTAGGCTTTTGTGTCAGACAGTGCTTTAGATTCTAAATTGTCTACAAAACTTCCAGTAAATCTTATTACATGCAATGTAATAAATCCAAAATATGCAGCTAATAGTATTTTATGAATTCTAACCAGAAAAATATTTTGCCAGTCTCTGGTATGTAATTTGAATTTTCTCTGCAAACTCATGCCTGGAGGCTGTCAGTATAGATTTTGTGAGCTTCTGCTGCAGAGTTTTGGTAATTGCCCAGTGTTTGGGGTAGTGAATATAAAAGAGGGCTACCTGTTGGTGAGCAAAGTGTTTCTAAGGCAGAGAGCTCTGGATGACCAGTGGCCACTCTGGTGCAGGTTTTCGCTGCTTTGTTCTCCCACCTTTGTCCTCCCTATCTGCTAGGGTAGCATCTAAATAGAGGAGCATTATGTAATCTTTCCTTTGTTCAGCAAATATTTATTGGGCACTTACTATGTCTCAGGCACAATTCTAGGTGGTTGTTATACACTAATGAACAAACACAAAAGAATGAAGAAACCAAAAGAAATGAAGTGCAAAGCCTGCAGCATGAGTCCGTGACTGCCAACCAGGTCGAGCCACACCTGGTAACAGTGCAGACACTTCCCGTGAGGTTCAGTAAGTAGCAGGGGGACAGAGACATGGCCAGAGACCCTCTTCCGCTTTCCAGTTATCCCCAGTGCCCCAAACAATCCCCAGACCATTGCAGATGCTCAATAACTATTTGCTGAATCTGTGAATGATTATAAGCTGCTTCTTGAATACATAGGCCACTTAGAAAGACTGAAATATACACTGCATCATTATCATTGAGAAATGTGTTAGTATCCAGTATGCTTAAGTAAAACCTGAAGGAACTAAGACAACATTAACCAGCAGCACTCAATGTTTTCTGCCAGCTGCAGAAACTGGAAATCAAGACTACCAGGCAGGAGTGTACATGTCTGTTACTTATTCACTTTTCTAAGGACCATTTAGATACATTGTAATATTTTGCCCTCTTTCTTGCACATTGCTTTTTCTAGATATGGTGATGCCATTGAAATCTTTTTTTTTTTCCAGTTTTTGGCAGGGGCTGGGTTTGAACCCACCACCTCCAGCATATGGGGCTGGCGCCCTACTCCTTTGAGCCACAGGTGCCGCCCATGCCATTGAAATCTTAAAATTGATTTTCAGGG